TATGCCCAATTTTTAGTGCACTGCAGTTGCCTCACATCGATAGGATCCCGATGCTACAAAGCTAGAACGATGCTACTAGAACTCCAGAAGACCGCTCGGCGATGTCCCCCTTCCCCGCATACCGGCCGAGCACATCCATTACCTCCCGTGCCTGGAGTTCAGTCAGATTAGGAGGTGACTGTATCATCACGTGGCCTCCCGTACCTGGAGTTCAGTCAGATCAGGAGGTGACTGTATCATCACGTGGCTGCAACCTATCGACAGACATCTCTAAAGGGAAAAGTGAAAACTAGCATTGCACTTGATTACACGTGCGACAATGCAATACCCTTAACCCCCGCGCGCCGGTAGGGGGATCGATGCGACCCCATTAAATATTGTTTGGGATATCGCTCCGGAATATCGTGCAATAGTGCCCACATTTTTAGTGGGCTATAGGGAATACACTGTACATGTATCAATCACGCCCAAATTTTTATTAGACTGTAGGGCATCCACTGTACACGTTTTGACACCAAAAGCATGTTCCCAGTTCTTCTGGTTTCGTAGCAGCGGCGTTTTTCCTTTTCAGGAACGCCGCACGGTGATAACGGCTGTCGTGGACGGTGGGCGGCAAACGACGATGCCGCGGAACGCCCGGAGGGTCGACATTGCTACAGTAACGGAGCTGCAAATCATAACCGTATGCTCAAAACACACCAAAAATACATAGTTTCACTCAGAAATAAACAAAGCTGAAAGTAAAAACACGCCTGTCTAGATTTTGTGTCGCTACGAAGCATGACATCGTATGCATAATGTCGTAAAGCTGAAACGATTAAATTCTCTGGAAAATTTGACCTTTGACCTGAAATTATAAGGAGAGTTATTTACCTTAGATAAAAGCCGGTACCAATCTTGATATCTCGTTGGAATCAATTCACTAGGCTTTGTTTTGCTAGGCTCCATACGTAATAGTTTGGAAGCGTCAGTGGGGTCGCATCGACACCCCCGTCTCATTACATCTCTCAACAATAGTCTTTCAACAGCATTGGTGTGCCTGAATTTCCACTTGAAATATAGGCAATATCTCAGCTGGGCTCAGCCGGAGGCGCGTCCCTGCGATGCCCACCCTTCCTGCCAGGGTGAGAGGCAGGCGACGTCACATCGGCCCAGCAGCTGAGAGCGTCTTAAAGTCGCGAAGGCCGACGGCGACGGTCGGAGGGCGAAAATCCTCCCCTTGTGCTTACGAATGGTCTGCACTGGGGCTTTCAGAGTAGCTTGCATGACGAGAATAGCTCGTTACGTGTACCTTGAAACCACCACCCACTTCGTGCCGTCCGTTGTGAGGCTATGGCGCGGAATGCTGCGTACGGCTGCCAGCGGCCTGGATTGACCCTCGGGGAGTTGCCTGCTGACCTGTCCATGTCGGTCGGGCCAAACGATGCGTACGCCAGCTGGGAATTAATGAAAGTAGCTTAAGCCAGACTGTAACTTGTTACTAGTCGTTGCCATGCTAGCCGTGTCAGAACTGCTAGTGTAGCGGACAGGCTGACTTAATTGCAGCACTCACCTCAAAGGACCTAGTTAACTTAAGCGTGTGGGAAACCTGCGACCGTTATGCGCGCGCATTTTGGCCCTTTCTCTTGATGTTCTTGAGTACTTTTCCGTGATAGTATGCTTTATACTTGCATTTGCATTATTGGTCAGCGGTTATAAAAGGGTATTTTTGTCACTGACCGAATTTGTACAGTCAAAATTGTCGCCATCAGTGTAACACAATAGCATATGGCATATAATAACAATGAAATCCTTGCCCAGTACCGCCATCAGGAATCACCGTGTCACCAAAAGCCTCCTGCGTCACCGCAAGTTTCAACGTCATACACGCAAACAAAACCCTCCTTTATACAATGCCATTCCACCAATGTCAGGATAACTACTGGAGCTAGGAATGCAGGAACACTGCCATAGACTATGGGATAGTCCAATCATAAAAGCAGTCTTCTTCCACCATCGGGACATGCCGGGCCTCACGTTTTAACCTCATCTACAGCTGGATTTGCTTTACTCGACCGCGAAAAAAACGAAGGACCTCGACAGCAGGGTAGCTGAATACATGGCAGAATTCCAACCGGTGGCAGGCAGCGCTGGGGGATGGCATTCCAGCCGGTGGCAGGCAGCGCTGGGGGATGGCATTCAATATGCTGGGCCTCCTCGGGGCCACGCCACCTTATGAAAACCACGTGTGCGCTCCGAGCTTCACCCAAATCGTCATTATGCTTCCCACCGTACCACAGACATGCTCCAAGCCAGACGCGACATGTTTTACATGGTGGACGCCTTTCGTCGCGCCCCAGCAATCGTAATATACAATTGTATGCCTCGTTTTCACGCTGTCGGGTAAGGAAGGAGCAATATCTTTGGTTCCGGTTTGGGCTTAGGTTGAGGTGAAGGCGGCTACGTAAATGCTGGGCGAGAGGCAGTGGGGACGTACTGAAAAGACAATGCATCTGGGTCATGGAAAGGTGTGATCGCCGAACTGTTGGAGGAAATATAGCAGTTTCTTCATATTGGTGCCGCGCTGGGCAAAAAACAACAATAAAAACAATAATTTGCGGCTGCAGTCCAACGTAAGTAGACTGTTGCATATTTTGACAATACGAAGGTGCCAGAAATTCCAGGCTCACGCTAAATGAATTTCCTCCGTCTGAATAGAGAAATGATGGGTGTTCCAGCAAACTGTTGTTGACCCTAACCGCCTCTATTATCCATTAGATACCAAAGAAGCTTAACAGCTGGCTTGTCGACTTGGACGCACCGAAAGCGCGAAATTTTTAGTTTTGTTGAAATCATAAGTCATTTGGTTTTCGAACCACAGCCTGACGACGTTTTTTCAATTTCACGCAAATAAAGCTGCAGACAAGTTTCTGCCTGCAAACTGGCATGCACAACCCTATTGAGCAGCACTCCAATATGTTTTCCTCACAGAAGTTGCATGGACGGTTCAGTTAATACGTGATTATCAGCGGTACCATTTGGAACAAAGAAATGCCATTCAAGCATTTCAGAGTAAATTTTCATCGTCAATGGAACCCTTAACTTTTTCTTAACTTAACGAAAAAAGGAGGTGAACAGCAAGAGCCCTTTCTGACTGCGCTCGGATTTTACTGGCCGGTCCAGGGCCACATCCTTTTAGCCCATTTTCATGCAGTGGCTAGAGTTCATGCCTGCCAATAAGGGTCACTGCTTTTTGAAGCAACCGAGGCACCATTGGTAACCAGGTGGCCTTTGAGCGGAAAAATGGGCTCTGTGCAGCTAAAAAGACCACGAGTATCCACAGAGTAACGCGGATATAAGGACCTCGAGCCCCTAAAAATGTCCTGAGCGCACCGTGAGTCCCTGAGAACTCAGAGATCATCTCATTGGTCAGAGGGCTCTTCAGTGGCCATGGCAGCCCCTCGGTAGCCTGACAAGTCCCTAAAGAGCTCAGACGTCCCTGGGTGGCCAGAGGGGCGCGAAGAAGACAAGAGAGCCTCGGTTGATGCCTAAGAGTCCTCGCGTCCAGAGGGGACATCGGCAACCAAACGAACACCTCGTTGGCCGGAATGGTCTGCGAACGATCCAAGGTTCCCCTTCGTGACCAGGGGGTCTGGGTGGCCAGGGGGTTTGGGCGATAAGAGGGGGATCCACACCCAAACCAGGCTGCTCAGAAGCCAAAGGCGCCCATAAACGGCCAGAAGGGCCCTGATCAACTAGAAGGCCCGTGCGCAGCCAAAGGGGCCCTAGTACATAGAAAGTTGAGAGGTCAGTGCGACCCCCCAAACGACTGCTTCCATTGGGACTTGATGATTTGATGACCTCGTGGTTTGGTGATTTTGATGGCTAGGTCAGTGAGGACATTGCGCAGCCAGAGAAGAATGTCAGTGGCCGGAGAGTTGCTTGGGGGCCAAGGTGTCCCTCCATGGATAGACAGCCCCCTTAACAGCAACGTCCCCAAGCAGCAAGCCGGGCACTAAGCAGACAGGCAGCGCTAGACATTTACTGCACACCTGAGTGTCCAGAGTGCATCTGGCCGGCCAGGGTGTCCAACGAGCAGCCAGAAGCTCTCTTGGGCGATGGAAGGGACCTCCTCCCAATGGCCAAATGCGTCCCGAGCAATTAAGACGGTCACATGTGTCCAGAAACTTTTGAATATGAATACATCGCTTTGACGACGAAAAAGACCACAAAGTGGCCGGCGAGCTCTCAATAGCCAGAGGTCCATGAACCGTGCGATTCTCTCCTTCGTAGCACAGCTTTCATATCGAGTGTATAAATTGGAGTTGGACTTGAAATTTTGCGTCAGTGGTGGAATGCTTGGTAGATTTAACCACCTTAACCATGCGCATTCACTTGGCTGCAAGCATAAGTAACACTAATTCAACAAGAATGATACGAATTTTAGGTGTTCCGTAGCTACATTACAGCTGAGTTATTGTTACTGGGGACAAAACTATGCGTTTCTTCTGTTTCCGTCAGTCTATTAATAACAAACGTTGGCACGACAACTTTGCGGATTGAAACATTCACGTCGTGCGGGTTTAACATTGGGAGCCCGAGGTACGAAGTGCATGTGTGGTGCTGAGGTGTCCATCCTGTGCTTCATAATCTGTCGTGACGGTGACACATCGCATTTTTGTTCACGTGCGTTGGTAGGCTTTTACTATTCTCCTTCAGGATATTGCACGCTTTTCCGCAAATAGTCCTCACAAATGTAAAAAGAGAGAGAGGAGAGAGAGAGAGAGAGAGAGAGAGAGAGAGAGAGAGAGAGAGAGAGAGAGAGAGAGAGAGAGAGAGAGAGAGAGAGAGAGAGAGAGAGAGAGAGAGAGAGAGAGAGAGAGAGAGAGAGAGAGAGAGAGAGAGAGAGGAGAGAGAGAGAGAGAGAGAGAGAGAGAGAGAGACCGCCCCCTGTAGACCACACTATTCCTCGCTCTGCACCTCATCCCCGCGCAGTAAGCACGACCTAACCGGCTGCCTCCCGTCTGCACTGCGTCGCTCTTCATAGTCGTTCGCGGAAATCGTTGTTGCCGCCGCCCGCTGTTTCAGGCAGCTCAGAACCGGTCGTCGAGCTGGCGGAGCGGGAACGGAGCCAGGAGCGAGTCGGCACGGCACTCCGGCCGAGTCGAGCTGGCGGAGCGGGAACGGAGCCAGGAGCGAGTCGGCACGGCACTCCGGCCGAGTCGAGCTGGCGGAGCGGGAACGGAGCCAGGAGCGAGTCGGCACGGCACTCCGGCCGAGTCGAGCTGGCGGAGCGGGAACGGAGCCAGGAGCGAGTCGGCACGGCACTCCTGCCGAGTCGAGCTGGCGGAGCGGGAACGGAGCCAGGAGCGAGTCGGCACGGCACTCCGGCCGAGTCGAGCTGGCGGAGCGGGAACGGAGCCAGGAGCGAGTCGGCACGGCACTCCGGCCGAGTCGAGCTGGCGGAGCGGGAACGGAGCCAGGAGCGAGTCGGCACGGCACTCCGGCCGAATCAGGAGTCGAGCACTCAGGATGACCGAACGGACGGAGCGAGCACGAAAGACGACCTGAGCCGACTGACGGGAAGTCTACCAGAGCCTGACAGTGCCTCACCCATCCCGGAGTCCAAAATTACGTATGTTGTTTAGTGCATTAGCGAGGAACATTAGTCACATAGATAAGACAGTAGTATTAGCCTTATTCCTAGGAAAACTAGGAGAATAGAGACATAGTTAGGTTGATATTTCGGCAACATGCCTTTCCCTAAACAACAGCAGAAGTTTCTATTCTTGTTAGCAAAAGTTCTCAGAACATCTGCTATTGTTTCGAAAAAGGTATGTTGCCGAAGTATCGACCTAAATATATCTCAATTCTCCTGTTTTTTTTCCGAGGAATAAGGTTTATACTGTAATCTCATCCCAGAGTCCGTTGAACTTTCTATACCAACGGCTGAACTTCGCCGCCGGCCGCTCTGCCGTTCTCTGTTAAACACCGTATGTGAGTTGCATGTCAGAAAATCTCAGTCGCTCCTACACCTTGCAGCATGGCCGCTTGTTTACAATCCCAACAACAGCCTCGGGTACATACCTTGACATTGGAGCGTTGGGTAACGCTCTCCGGCCAGTGAGCGCGAGGTGGCGCCAGGTGAGTGGCCGCTCCGGACCTTTCGGCCGCTCCTTTGTCTTACCGAGGTCAACGTTGCTACGAAGGTGGCGTTCGGGGTGAGCTGAGCACAAGACACCGTAATTGTGGTAGACAGGCACAAGTGTCAAATGCGCGCGCTATAGTACAACGACATGCTACGATGGTACGTGTTAGCACCTGTTCTAGGTTTGTAATCGCGCGCATTTTGTGTTTTTTTATTCGCGAATGTGTATACTGCACTCGTATTTATCACGACCATTCGCTGGGTTTCTGCCGTATAAAAGACTTCTGAGAGATGGAGCTAAGTGGGGCCTTCGGTGGGATCTTCGGGGGGGGGGGGGGGGGGGGCTAGCCTACTTCGCATTAGCGCTGTCAGAGGCATGTGGCGAAGTGACAAACTAGTAGTGTTTTTGCTATCGCAAGTGTTGCGTGGGTAGACCGCACGAACGGATGTTTTTTATATCGCTACCCATAAGCAACATTTTGTAGCTTTCTACTTTATACCATGCATTTTGTGCTCGTGCGCAAGCGAATTTCTGCGCATTTATTTTCTGAACGCGCCTTAGCCCCCTGAAGCCCAGTTTTTTGCCTGAAAATCTGGATTGTTGAGCATTCCATAACTGTTGCGAAAACTTATAAACAGTTTGAAATTTTTCGTTCCCTAAGAGTAATGTTTTTCAGTATCTGCTTAATTCATCAGGTCTGAATAGAGACATGCAATGAATGTTGGTTGTAAATGATAACTGTCGTAAGCTATGACAGACGACACAGAGAACAGGCTGGGCTGGGCAAGAGCATTAAGACGCGCTCGAGTGGGGGTCAATTTGACCCCGCCGAATGTTTTCCGGAATGGTTTCCGTACAGCGCGACGTACCCATGCCATATTTTACATAGCTATAGACAATGGAATAGCAGCTCGTTTGGTATCCAATATTTTGAGGCATTTTTTAAGGTTGCTGACCTACGGCAAGTCAAAGTCAGGCCATGGATTCAGCGAGGGTGGGGGTGAGAATTTCTAGAGAAACTTTCAATCTGATGCAACAAGGGAGTGTAAGACAAAGCCATACACCTCTGAAATACTTTCTTAGACAACAAAACAATTGAATAAAAAAATTCATCGACCTAGAATCAGGTATCAAAGTTAGACCCGGGTCAAAACCAACCTGTTTTATTACTTTAGAGCTTGCTGTATGGGGTAGTTTCTGGTACTCATTTCTAACTCATTGATAACAGGAACCACATTACACATCTTCCATAAACTTCTTTAAGATCAGAATATATCACTGACCTAAAATGACCCAGGTCGATATTTTGCTTTTAAGGACATACTGTCTAGCGTAATCTTTGGCACTTATTCAAATTAGGAGCTACGTAGTCTTGTGTGATTTTGGTCACCTCATAAAAGTCAAACAAGGTTGCTGACCTTAAATGAGCACCACCGACGTTTTGCTTAAAACAGGTATCTGGGTGCTGGGGCACTTAAAAGCACCAATCTAGAGTTTGGCCTTGTTTGATCTTTTTCGACCCAAAGTCATGACCTAGAAATCCCAACTTTTGACAAAGGAAAGGTCACGTACAGCCAACACACCTTGTCAGTTTGGTGTCTCTAGGTTTCTTAATTTCTGGGATATCAGGGGGTCAAATTGACCTCCCACCCGAGTGAAGAGTACTCAACCGACCACCCGGGCGCATGTTACGTGAGCAAAACCCTGGTTGGTGATGGGATTTCAGATAATCATTTTTTTAGAAGTGCTACTGGTTACAATGCTGCGACTGATGTGCGGCTTTACTCCTGTAAACTCCCACTTGAATGGAACTTTAAATTGAATATAAGCCTTGTAAACTTGTAGAACTTCGGCAACGGCGGGTGGTGAATGGAATTCAGGCCAGTGCGATGCTTATCTTGTTTCTTTCCTTGCAAGGCAACGTGCTTTCTTTTTCAATGCTAGGTTTTCTATGACTGGTGAGTGACACCGCATCCTGACGATACCACCACGCCCGATTTTACTGTAGTTTTGCGACGGTAAATCGTTATGCATGGTTTTGCGTGCATCGCACCAGTTCACCTACTGTGACATGGGCGTCGTTAATGCTCTGACGGACCCGCGGGCCTCCGGGCAGCTCGTTTCCGGTAACAACACCCACTGCCCTATCGCAGCGCATCCCTCGGACGCATGGGTGGACAACGTGAGAAGTCAGTGTAAAAAACCGCCAAAATTAAATCAAGATATAATAGCATCGTGATCGAACCATGACCGTTTCCGCTATAAACTGGTTTGCCAGCTGCTGCACCCATCATGCCGCATTTTCCACACAACTTGGGCAACGTGTTGGCGAGCGTGCCATCACTACCAAGACTTTGGGCGGCTTCCATCAGCGTGGTGTCATGATGTGTTAAGTGTCGCGCAGCATTAACGTAAACGGCACGAACAGCGTTGCCTCCCAACGTGCGATGGACGTTTTCATTGCCTGGATTGTGACGAACGGTGCTATGATCGCCGCAGACCTCGACTTCATTCGCTTCACATACGTCCATCACACGTTCGTTTAAAGCGAATTCGCTTCTGCACCGATCTGCAACGCATTCTTCATTATATGTAGAAAGTTTATGTTGAAAGAGATTTGTTGATGTTGTTTACACAGCTGCTGCCGAGTTGTAATCTACTTTACCATTGAAGCTAGGGTCATGTGGTGCACCAATAATGTGTTTGTGTTTGTTACATTTTAAGCAATTGTTCACCTCTCATTACCTGTTTTCATTTTGAAGAACATCATCTTCAGCTCAGTGCTGGACCATCTAGCGAAATCAGATGAGTATATATATATAATATATATATAATATATATATAATCATATATATATACCAATAATATATATATGATATTATATATAATATATCTCGCTCTCTCTCTCCCTCTCTCCTCTCATCTCTCTCATCTCCTCTCTCTCTCTCTCGCTCTCTCTCCTCTCTCTCTCGCTCTCTCCATCTCTCTCGTCCTCTGGGCTCTCCTCCTCTCAGCTCTCTTCCTCTCTCTCTCTACCATCTTCTCGCCTCTCTCTGCTCTCCTCTCCTCTCTCTCTCTCTCTCTCGGTCTCTCTCCTCTCTCTCTCTCTCTCTCAACCAACGTGTTCTGTATCTACCTACCTATATATATATATATATATATATATATATATATATATATATATATATATATATATACAGATGTGTGTATGTGTGTATATTTATGCATCTGTTTGACATGACTACATTCACAATTGATAAGAATCAGACAGATCTTGATGAACAACGGTCTTTCAAATTCTGACGTTGAAAACGAAACACAACGACATATGACAAGACACTTTGACGGCAAACCAAGGCAAGGCATCCAACCAACCGTTAAACCGTGTTATTAAAATCAACTGACATATGCCCACAAACAAGACGAAAAAGCTTTACGGGAAATTATCTCTCGACATGTTGAAGACAAAAACGACCACAAAATAGACATTGTCATTTACTATTGTAAAAAGAAAATATCGAACTTTCTTATGAGAAACAGCCAGACAAACCCGACAAACTAAAATGCACCAATGTAGTGTATCAATCCCAATGCAACATCGAAGGCTGCAAACTTCGTTCGATACACTACATTGGTATGACCACAACGACACTCTCACGACGCCTGACAATGCACTTAGGTGACGAGGCACCTCTGGACCACATGCGACAGGAACACAACATGACATTGACACGACAACAACTGACAGACAGCACTGACATTTTACGGACGTGCAGTGGCAGAAGACGCCTTTAAATTTGGGAAAGCGTATTCATTAACGGACTCTTTCCAGCCTTAAACAGACAGACAAATTCTTGCAGAACTCTTGAACTACTAGGTGGTGGGTGGTGAGCACTTCTAATGTGATTATGGCAATAGTGTTCCCATTGTGTCTTTGCGGTGTTCCCGTTATGAGTGTTTCTTACATGTATGAAAATGAAAATAGGATTCCGTCTTTTTTCAATTAAATATGCTTCATTTATGTTCTCCGTACCAAAAGCGAGAGAGAGAGAGAGAGAGAGAGAGAGAGAGAGAGAGAGAGGAGAGAGGGAGAGAGAGAGGAGAGAGAGAGAGAGAGGAGAGAGAGAGAGAGAGAGGAGAGAGAGAGAGAGAGAGAGAGAGAGAGAGATATATATATATATATATATATATATATATATATATATATATATATATATTTATACACATTAATGCGGTGTACGGCACACCGATTGTCTGTGTCTGCCGCGCAGGATGATGCTGCGTGGCCGGAAGCTGCACGTGGTCTGCTTGCTGGCGCTGCTCAGCGTTCTGCTGCTGGCCGTGTACCAGATGCGGCCGCAGCTGTACGTCTGCAGCACCGAACCGCTCTCGACCGACGGCGTGCCAGAGATGCGGATGGCGTCGATCCTGGCCTGCCCGCCGGTGCTGGTCGAGTCGGTGCAGCGGCCTCGGCCGGCGACCGCGTCCGCCCTGCAGCGGGTGTACGTCATCACGCCCACCTACCCGCGCGCCGTCCAGGTGCCCGAGATGACGCGCCTGGCGCAGACCCTCATGCTGACCTCCAACGTGTTCTGGGTGGTGACCGAGGATGCGCCGGTGCGCACGCCGGCCGTCACTGAGATCCTGCAGCGCTCCGGACTGCCGCACGTCCATCTTCTCGGTGAGTGGTAAACGGCTGCGGGGAGCGCTGGGAATCCGGTACCTGGGTCCTCACCAGCGGGGACAGCTGACGAAGGGTGTGCCAGGTATGACGCCACTCTGGCGCCACTCTGACTCGAAGAAACTTCGACTTGTTAGTCACTGACTGGCTTCTTTTTCCTCTGAAGGCACATGATGTACTTGCAAATCACAGCTGAACGAATGGGAGGGTGGTTAATCTTGTGCGACTGCAGCTGCCTGCCCGACCAGTGCGTCTGGTCCGACAGTTGCCTTCGTTTTATTTTTTTTTTAAACGGGTGACGTGCGCCCAGATGTGTGCCGGCGCACAGCCACGCACACCGAAACCAAGCCTATCCGCGCACTGTTACCTTGAGAACGTCTATCAGATCATGTCGGCCAGCGTACAATGCCTTGTCCAAAATAGAAGGTGGTCGTGCACGTCAGCGTGGGTCAAGTTAGATGCGATTTTATCGTTCTTCATGTTCAGCGCTGCTCATTGTGCGAATGCAGGCGCACAATCACCAACATTAGCGCGACCCGCCCAACCGGCCATAGCTCACTTCGAGCTCCCCAATGTTTGCATAAAATTCTTGTACGCACTACATCTGAAGAATCTCGCGACGATACAGGTACATCCAAAGAGTCTCACGACGGTACAACTACATCCGAAGAATCTCGCGACGATAAAACTACATCTGAAGGATCTCGCGACGATACAACCACATCCGAAGAATCTCGCGACGATACTACTACAACCGAGGAATCTCGCGACGATACAACTACATCTGAAGAGTCTTGCGACGATACAACTACATCCGAAGAATCTCGCGACGATACAACTTAATCCGAAGAATCTCGCGACGATACAATTTGGCCCTGGCGGTCAGGTCAAACATTGGTTTCTAGAGGCAGCCTTGCGCTGTTTTTGTGCTCTAAATGACTCAATTGTTACCACTTATTAAAGGAATGGGTTTCAAAGAAAGCATATGAATGACGTGAAAGCGCAGTAAATGGATGCCCTAAGGGTTGGCTATCGAATGACCCTGTGCGCAAAGAACGCAAAATGCTACTCTAACGCATCATGTTTTGTTAACAACTGAAGGGAGCCGTCTGCTCACCACGCCATGGTGTAGCCTGGGCATGAATTCAACTTAAGGGGGTTGTGATTTTGTTCACAAAAGGTAGGGCCTGTTGAAGGCTAAATGGCCCTACGCGCGCAAGAGGAATCGACACGATACGTTAGTACCCACGGAAACATTTGTTGGGAACGATCGGGTGCGCCCGGATGCATTGCACTTTGTTTGCAGCACATATTCTTGTTGCCATGCATGCCTCTACTAGAAATGAGCCTCCTTAAATAATGCATTGTCGTTTTTTAATTCTTGTTCTGATATGAATACCACTTACGACTCCAAATATGAACGGATCGACGATCTTATTACTTTCGGTCTTAGACCCCGCATGTCGTGAGGGTGACGTCATGCCTGCGTTTTGACAGGTTTAAAGCCCGACAAATATTCTCGCAACGACTTCGAGGGTCCAGTACCAAAAGGTGTATCCAACCGCATGGCTGCATTGGAATGGCTGCGGAAAAACACCGACAGCGGAGTCTTCTACTTCGCTGACGACGACAACACTTATGACTACCGCCTATTTGAAGAGGTATTCTACTTCAGTACCATGCTTGTGCTCTTATTACATCCAGGGAATGCTGTCCCCGTAAACCAGGCGCTGTACTTAACAGCATACTAGAAATGGTTCAACAATGATCCATCGGGTTCAGTTTGCGCTCACCATGTGGATCGCGTAGTACACCGGTACTTTTCTACGCGTATACCTCGGCACACATCGTTCGTCTCATCTGTGACGTTTCTCCGTGCTCGCGTTCCGCCGTGTGCCGTCTGTCGGGTGCTGCCATGCCACCGCCGGTTGCCGGCGTCCGCTGACCGTCCCGGCGTCTCGCAGCTCGCCAAGACGAAGCGCGCCTCGGCCTTCCCCGTGGGTCTGGTGACCATATTCGGCCTGAGCACGCCGGTCGTAGAAAACGGAGTCCTCACTGGCTTCTACGACGGCTGGATAGGCGGTCGCACCTTCCCTATGGACATGGCCGGTTTTGCAGTCAGCGTGGAGGTGCTGCTGCAGGTGGGACATGATGTCGTCAGAATTTCTGCCCTGTATGCAGCATTTATGCTGCGGGTACAGCTCTTCCATCCTGATCGCCGTCCCCCCCCCCCGCCGTGTGTATCTGGCGCATTCCCCGTGATTAAGCACTTCCTACTTAAGGCTTGAGCTAGCCCCAAGCCCTTGATGATGTCAACTATTGCACTGGGATTGGACACTCCTCACTAGCCTGTGAAGTGGCCGCTGAGGCCTTTATCATAGGAAAGGTAGGCACCCTGAGCCCGTTTCCTGGCCAGCAATCCACGTAACGTGACGCGGCTTGCATTAAAACGGACGCTGATTGCTGTCACACTGCGATATGGTCCTGTTCCGCAGCATCCAAAGGCGGCCATGCCGTTCAAGGCGGGTTATGAGGAGGACGGTTTCCTGAAATCGCTCGGCCTGAAGGAAGAGGATCTGGAGCCGCTGGCTGACAACTGCACCAAGGTCAGCGCGACGACTGTCGCTGCCCTTACGTGGGCAGCACCAGTCTCGTTGTGGGGAGCTATGGCGTGCCACTTCGACGCACGTATGCTGATAAGCACGGCTTGTGCCAGCATCCGTTTGTAGGGTAGGTTTATGTCAACGAGTTTGAGTCAACGATCGTAAGGTTACGGCTGTGCCGTAAGGATGAACATGCTTAAGTCGACCAACTATCAAGTAAAGCTGTTCAACAACTGTACCACTTTACATGCAAAGGCTCTTAAAATGACTGTTCCACGTTTGTATGGGATGTGGAACTGAGACGACCGTTTTCAAGATCACTCCCTTCAGTTCACACTAATGCCGTTTTTCAAACCTGAAGTCCTTTCATTTCTGAGCTATGTGCATGGGAACTTGTCCAGATTATTTCATGCTGTCCTGTTTGAAGTCACCCAAAGATGATGTCATGGAAACGTCACGCTAATTACGCCCCTTCAATGGTCACACTATGGTCATGAGGTCAATACAAATATGAATACTTTGGGTTGTTCGTGTTCAGAGTACGTCACCACGAATCGTAACTTCAACGGCCAGAAGTTGGTTTGCAACCATGCACTAAATGCAACTTTCAAACAGGAATAGCGTTTTGTGATACTTAGTGCAGGAATGTGGGCAGTGCTCTAGCTATGACGAAAATTCGATTAGCAATCATATAATCAAAAGCCCTTATCAACCCTCAACGCCAACTCTGCGCCGTAGATCATGGTGTGGCATACGCAGACCAAGCAACCGAGGGTGCCGTTCTCCACCGTCGACATGGAAGATTACCGCAACACCAACCTGGAAGTACTGCGACACGTGGTCAATCCCAAGCCCAGGTGATAGTGGGCCGGGCACCGAGCTGGCGGCAGCGACGGGCGGTCTGACGGCCCCTGTCGTCGGACTGGTATGGTGTCAGGGTACGGGGCTTGTGCTCCGACTGGCGAAGGTCTGATGTTGATCAGGCCACGGATAGGGACGATCTGGGACGGCCACGGGCGATTGTCCCAGCACAGGGACACGGCCTGCCGTGGAAGTGGACGTCATGCGGTGGCGCTGGGCGATCTGATGCCTCGCGTGTGGTCTGTGATTCAGTGGCAGATGGCCACGTCACTGGGCTGTGCGAACAGATAGGAGGCTTTCGGACGACGCGTCTTCATCGGCGTGATCCGACACGTGACGGACCGTCTTAGAACTAGCAGGAGCCCGCACTGCAGTGTGTTCGGACAGCCGTGTGCGGTGACATCCGAGAGTGTGATGCATTGGCTGGTTTTGTGTGCTTCTGCTGGGCGGAAAATGATATCAAGGCTGCCTTATGGATATTGTTATTATTCTTACACGCTCCGTTTTGGTGCCTGAGTGTACATGTGCTATTCGTGTATTTAATAGAGATATACAGGTGTTTGCATTCTGTAAAACAGCACAGTATGCCCTAGTATGAACTTGTTTTCCGTGTAATGCATCTTTCCTTATCTCTGTTCCCTCCTCCGGCGCAGTTCCTGGCGCTCCCCGCCGGCGCCCGTGCGGCGACCGGCGCCTCCCGTCCGACCCAGTGTCGCCATCCTGACCACTTCCGGCCCTCGTCCGAGTCGCCCCGGCACCGCCACCGTGCGGCGGACTTGGCTGCCCGCCCGGCCTGTGCTCCGGCCCGACCCCGCCGGACGCCGGACGGACACTTAACGCGGCTCTCGGCACCCCCTGGTGACCTGGCCCGGCTTCACGCGGATGAGGTCAGCCAGCCCTGGTAGCAGGACTGCTCCCGGATCGGCCCTGGCCCGGCCGGCGACGCCGGCTCAACCAAAACGGCGCCGGCCGCCGACGACGTCCCAATCTCAGGCGGGCTCCGTCTGGGCCGGCAGCGTCGGCTCTGTCCTGGCAGTGGAGACGGGCGTCGCCGCAGGCGTCAAACGCGCTCTTAGCGTCCTGCCGACGCCTCAGCTCGCGGCTGGCACCCGTGGCATTACGCCGCAGCGTGGAGCAGGCCCACCTGACGCGATCGGCGCCGTCTCGACGGACCTCACCGCAGTGCAGACCAGGCCGGAGGACAGCCTGAGCCACGGCTCTCCGCGGCCGTTGCAACAGCCGCAGGCGCCGGCGAGCGGACCGCCGACTGGGCTGGAGCCAACGACCGTGGATGAGATGACGGCCGGTGACAGGCCCGGAGCCGCGTCGGTGCGGGCTGTGGACGGTGGCGGCTCCGACGACGGCCACTCCGCCCCACAGCTGCCTGCTGTGGCGTTAGCGCTCGCCCGCAGCACCTCCACACCCGACGCGGTTTCAAGGAGCAATTTCGAACCACATCGTTGACTGGTATGGCTGGTTCCGGAAATGACAAGGTCGTTGTCATGACTTGTGGCCCAGTCAGAGCCAGAGAGTCGCAACTACGTGTTCACAGGCACCCTTTCGGGTATTTCCTCCACGTTGCCAGGGTGCCGAACCAATCGCTGAGGGCCTAGTGCAATGCATGTATGCTTTTGTGGAGTGCCGCGAACCGTTCACAACGATCTAGGTAAAACTTTGACTGGAATGTTTTGCCAGATTGTGAGACATTCGTTGATCTACATCAACAGCATTCCGTCCGTTGGTTGGTATGCTGGGGGACTGCTAGGAGAATTTAAGCGGGAGAGAGGAGTGAATCTTCAAAACAGCCTCGCACGTGTTGAGGTCGTACACTGAAGTGGAGAAGTTCTAAGGATGGACCGGCCGGGTTGCTTAAGAGGGCTTCGGCAATGCCTGTGTAAAGATGATACATCACACTGACCTACAGCGCTGTGATTATGTTCCTTCGACCGCACACTATGTGACAAACGCAGCTTCGTCCATGATCTTCGTACCGGGTCCATCCAGGGTCCCGCGAGAGGGAGAGAGACCAGACAGACGAGGCCAGTCATACCCCAGCAGAGGGGAGCAAGTAACGCCACCTACGTCTAATGATCTTGAATGCTGTTGGGGCCTTGCCTTTTCTTCGACGCAGGGACACTCGCTCATTCGTGTTCTCATACTGCGGTAGAGAGGGGTGAACCAGCAGGTCAGCAGGTGTACAGGTCGCCGGCTGACATCGGTTATGGTAGGCGTGGGAGCCTGGTGGCGGCTGAGACGGCCAGACGGGCTGACGAGGTAGCAGATCATACGCCGCCTGAAAGCGCTAAAGGTCAGAGCGGAATCTGTCGTCAGATACACAACGGAGTTCACTGACAAAGGGGACGCCGAGCAGTAATGCTCTGTCGTCAGATACACAACGGAGTTCACTGACAAAAGGGACGCCGAGCAGGAATGCTCTGTCGTCAGATACACAACGGAGTTCACTGACAAAGGGGACGCCGAGCAGGAATGCTCTGTCGTCAGATACACAACGGAGTTCACTGACAAAGGGGACGCCGAGCAGGAATGCTCTGTCGTCAGATACACAACGGAGTTCACTGACAAAGGGGACGCCAAATAGAAATGCTCTGTCGTCAGATACACAACGGAGTTCACTGACAAAGGGGACGCCGAGCAGGAATGCTCTGTCGTCAGATGCACAACGGAGTTCACTGACAAAGGGGACGCCGAGCAGGAATGCTCTGTCGTCAGATACACAACGGAGTTCACTGACAAAGGGGACGCCGAACAGGAATGCTCCGCAGAATCAAGTGTTGGAGACCGCTGCTCAGCGAACGGAGGAAGCACCTCCAATTGCTATGGTCGAATTGCCGGTGCGTAAGGCGGGGTGGACCAGGTGACCTCCCAGTCGCTTAATCACTGCGTCGTGGATATTGAGTGGCTATGGTAGGTCATGTATTTGTGTGTGCGTGCGTGCATGCATGCGTGCATGCGTGCGTGCGTGCGTGCGTGCGCGTGCGTGCATATGCGCGTGCGCGTGTGCGTGTGTGTGTGTGTGTGTGTTGAGCCACTGTCCAGTGTTTGAATATTCTCTTGTGGTCCACCAGTTTAGCCGGCTGGCCGGGGATGGGGGCCGGCCGGCTGGCCAGCCCCCATCGGGACCGAGCGGGTTTGCGCTGTAGGCGATTTGGATGGGGGGGGGGGGGGGCAGTTGGCGTTGCGTGTCAGCGGCTCATATTTTGTATGTTCGTGATACGGTTTTTTGTGTCTGAAAATCTGCAAGATATTTCGGTCTTCATCAGTGGCAACAGAGCATCAACATCGGCCATCTGACACAGGGCCGTTCAACTGTCTCATTGTAGATCCTTCCATCGCCATTTATCATATTTTCTTCCACTGCCAGAGGGCCAGACCAACGTAAGGGGCCCTCGGACATTCGGCGTCCCGTGCTGTCTCTGTTCAGCGAATGGACACCCTGACCGACACACGGGACCCACGATCGTCTCAAAGGCCATCAGCAATGCGCTGTCCCTGCTGGAGAAACGTGCCCCCAAGGAGACACTTTGACAGGGGAGGTCGGCCCCGAATCGATGCAGATCCCCACTGACGCAAAAAGTACGCATGCGTGAAGTGTACGCACTTGTTCGTAAGCAAATGCACCTGAGGTAAAGTATGTGTGGAAAATGGTCGTATCAACAAAAGCTCATCAAGACAAAAGTTTGTAAAGAAAGAAACTCGTATCCATAAAGAACGCACACCAGTACTCGTAAGCATTTAACACAAGCGAATGTTCGAAGCGGATGAAAGTGGGTTTGCCAAAAATGCGTACACAAAGTTTCATAAGCAGCATAGGCGCACGGGTACGCTGTTTGCTTGCGATTCAGTGTCGGAGAACGATGGACATCAAGCCGGTGGCAAAGCATGGATAAATTTCACTTCGGGATGGTGAATGATGCTTACATGGGGAGTGCACCAGGACAGATAGATCATCGGGATAACAAATTATGCACCCGTGCTCTTAAATTTCGCTGGAATTTGGTTTCCGGGATAATGCAAGGTGGGGATTTGATTGAGCAATTTCTGTTTCTTTCGGTGGACGGTTTACAAATGATGCTCTCGAGTAATGTTGGATCGGGTTCAAGCAGGGTCCCAATCCCAAGGGAGGGGGGGGGGGGGGTCGTGGCGAGTTCACTTGGTGCGTCATTTCATCCGGAATCGGATTTGCTTGATATAAGCAATCGTAAACCGGGCGTCGCTAGCGCGTCTGCGCGACGTTTGCCACGGCAGTTGACTCGTCGTGTCAGTCAGCTGGCGTCAGTGGCACGCTCAGGGGGAGTCAGGCAGTCATCGGCAGATAGGCTGTTAGGGTGAGGTATAATAGGGATGCACAGCAAACTCGGCGGTTGTTCTAGCAAAAATACTTTTACATATATATATATATATATATATATATATATATATATATATATATATATATATATATATATATATATATATATATATATGTATATGGTTTTAACCTCCAGTTCTTTCGATTCCAAGGTCATCGTGCACAACCCTAATCAACTTGCGTTCGTTTGCCGGTAACCTCAAGACGTTAATTTCACGTCATGAAAAGTTAGGCAAGCCATAAAACTTCAGCCAACACATGCAACTGTTACCCCCCACCGTCATCTCCTACCCCCTTCTCTCCCCAATCGACGGGAGGTAGCACCCACGGTGACCACTCATTCGGAACCTAACACCAATCAAGAACATCTGCATTCCAACGTTCCGTGCACATCTGCATACGAGGGTCTGCGTGCGAACTCTCACCAAACGAACGTCATCCTGACGCAAATTTTTGCGCAAACGTTATGGACGTAAATCATATGTCGAAATACGAACCTTTCCTCGCGATTTTTTTGGAAACAACCTTTATCCTTGACTAACGTTCGCCATCACGAGCTTTTGGCACCATGATGTGTATACCCTTCGTGATTTATCTTGACAAACACTAGACGTACGTACTTTATTGTACGAACAATTGTCATGCGTACCTTTGCTGCGCATACGTTATTCCAAAACCCCGACTCATGTCGGTAAAGAATTGTCAGAGCTGAGGTTCGCCTGTAAGGAATATAGATGACGCAGTGGTCGACAGTCCGCACTGAACGGAGCAGCCTGTTGACCACGGCGACCTTGGTCGCATGGTGGGTAAGCTGCGGGGTGGTGCGAGAGCGGGGTAAAAACAGTCACGCGAAAGGCAAGAAACGCGGTAGTTGGTTAGTCCCCGGGCTCACTGCATAGGCTACATTTACCAACTGCACGTTGAACCATACTAACCACAACTATACCAAACTCTATAACTTGCTATGCGTTGCGCCGTATAGTTGGTTAGTTTTTGCTGGCTCAAGCATAAAACACAGAGGCTAGATACGAAACTGGAGGTACGCCGGAAGTGAACATCCGAAGTCGATTAGAACAGGCAAGTTCTTGCAGGCATGCTTCGTTAAGTAACGGCACTGACTCGTTGATGACCCATGCGAAGACCTGCTGTGGTATATGAATGACTTGCGTTTACATTATTTCGGGATGCTTTACCCATTACTTTTGCTTTATTTTTTGTTTAAAATGCATGTTACACCTTTAAATGGGGGGTTTAAACTGAAATAGCCATCGTGATGACCCTCTGATGCAGTCCACGGCAATGCCCTTCTTAAGGCCCAAAGCTCTTTGGTTCCTGAGTCATACGCCCTCAAAAATGCGAAACGTTTATTGGGGTACTACTTCAGTCACCTTGGCATTGATGTCGTCATAGAAACGTCATAGGATTGCCGTTATAT